GGTCTACACATTACATTTGGCCAATATGTCTCTTAAATCTCCGTTAGTCAACAACAATCGGACAGTCCCCTCCTGTTTTTTAATGCCACGAGTTTGTTGAAGAAACGGAGCCATTTATCAGCTATGGGCTGAGGACTCTCACGTGATAGATCCTTCCCCACCTGTTCCAAGCGCTGGGTGTCTCCCCCAGGGGCCACCTCCCCGGTCATGCCCCACACCTGTTTCATCCCCATATCCTGTGGATTCTGCCTCCAAAATCTCTCTCCTTCCCCCGTCTTCCTTCTCCCTCCTGGGTAGCTACTGCGGCCCCACAGGGGGTCTCCACTCAGCAGGAAGAGTGTCCAATAGAGATCTGACCATTTCACTCCTTCCCTTCCCCACGTCAGCCCTCAGAATCAAGTCCGGATCCTTCCCTTGTCCCTCGGGCCTTCCCTGCCTCAAATCCTGCTGCCCCTGTTCCTGCTTTCCGGCTCTGGCCACGTGGCCCTGCTGGTAGCTTCTTGGACATGCTGTGCAGTCTGTAGGGACACCCTGCATCCCATCCCCTGCTCCCCCACCTGGCTGGCTCTTCCTGTAGGTGTTGCCCAAGACATCATCTCCCCTAGGAAGCCTTCCTGACCCCCAGCCCAGGTGAACTGTCAGAGTCCAACTGGCCAGCAGGGAAGACAGCCTTGGGGTGGGCAGGTCTGAGTGGGTGGGTCAGGGTATTGCCCATGTCCCCCCATTGTTTGCTGTGCCCTGCTTCTCATGGACACCCCATGCTCTCCTGGCAGCAACGAGTTCAGCAGGCTGGTGGCCGGGGAGTACCTCAGCTTCTTCGACTTTTCAGGCCTGACTCTGGACAGAGCACTCAGGTCAGTGGGGGGGGGGGGGGGGCGGGGCGAGGACAGGGCAGTGCCCATAGGTGTTACAGGCTGCACATCTGGATTTTCATGCCAGCTCTTTCATAAACTTGACCCCTCTGGGAGGCTGGGGGAGGGGCCATCAGAGCAGCAGCCTTCCAGCGACTCAGTGAGTGCCCACGATGTGTGGGTGCTGAGGCTGTGAAGGTCGAGGAGAGGAAAGAAGGCAACAGCCCCACTCCCTTCTCACTTTCCTGCAGTTGTTGAGGGAGATTTGGTCTCAGGTCCCATTGGTGTTTGGGCCCAGGGAGTAGCCCTCAGGGGAGCCCAGAGTGGGAGGATGCAGCCCAGAGTCTAGCAGGCCTGGTGGCCCAGCCAGCAGGGTGACACCAGGCCAGAGCCCTCGGGGGAGGGACAGCAGTCTCTGAGTTAAGGGCTGGGTGGTCCTTGCATAGTAGACTTTCTCATCGTGTCCCACATGTCTCTTATACTTTAAAAAATGTATTTTTCATTCTTTTTTTTTCTGCTCAGTTGGGCTATTTTCTATTGCCCTGCTTACAAGTATTTACCCTTTTTCTGTGTCTAACAGGGCATTAAACCCATTTATTGAGTTTTTACTTTCTATTATTATACTTTGCAGGTCTAGAATTTTCATTGTATTAAAAATATTTCTTATAGATTATAATTCTCTGGGTAATTCCCCATCTTTTCACTTGTTCCCCCCCCCCCCTTTCTTGACATATTAGCCATGGTTATTTCAAAGCCCTTGTCTGCTCATCCCACGGCCATTATCATCTATTTCTGTTTCTATTGTCTATTTTTTTCCTTTTGACCACATCATAAGGGTCTCTCTGTATGCTCAGTATCATTTTAATGAGAGGCTCTACATTTTGTATAGAATTATAGCTGCTCTAGACCATGCTGTGCACCTTTAGAGAGGGGCTGCCCTGTCCTCTGCTAGGCAGTTAGAGGGAGGCAGGGGGCCCGATCTGAATCAACCAAGGCTGCGCTGAGGAGAGGTCTAGGGCTCACCCCATCCCAGGGGGGCAGGTCCGCCGGGCTTGCCACTGGGAGCCTGGTGTGTTCATGGGCGCCTCTCCTTTTGGTGGATCATGAATCCACAACTCTCCTCGATGCGGTAAGACTATCAAACCAATTCCCTCTTCTTCTCAGAGGCTTTCTGCTTAGCTTTTTATGTCCATCCTGCCCCACACATGTCAGAATCTGGCAAATCTCTCAAAGGAAAACTGGCCGTGTGTGTACAGCCCCTCGAGCCTCCGGGTTCGTCTCTTCAGCTCCGTGAAGCCACCACCAGTGCTGCCTCCTGCCCGTGCCCATAACCACCAGTGCCCAGGGAGCAAGCAGCGGTGGACAGCCTCCTCTCCTCCCCAGAATCTGGGCCCTTTCGGTCTTTGTCAGAACCCGGGTCAGTGTTCTGGTATCGTCAGAGAGATGCATTCTGCCTGGCTTTCCCCGTCGTTCTCAGTGGACGAGTTGGTCTGCTGCAAGCAGCCCTAGCCTGAATGAGGCTGGAGTTTGCGTTGGAATGAGAAGGGTTGGTTAGGGAGGGCATACAGTGGGTCCGCTCGTGATCAGAGGCTGGACGCTGGGCAGCAGGACTTTGCATGTCAGCCCAACAGATTGAGGAGCCACAGCAGGCGCTGGGTATAAAGCAGGATTTGAGAGGCGGTACTGACAGCTGCATGCGGGAAGCTTTTGACCCAGAGGCGTCCGGCTTCTCATATTCCACCAGGTGGTAGAAGACACGGCCTGCGTTTGGTGGCAGCTGTGCTGGGCTGGGGCTTGGGGAAGCCCCCAGGGAGGGGGTGTTTGAGCTGGGGAGTAGGAGCTGGGCTGGATGGCTCATCGGTGGGACAGGTTAAGGCTGGGATGGGGGATGGGTTTTAGAAAGTGCAGGTGGGGTGTGAGAAGAGGGAGGGGAAACACAGAGCTGGGGGCCAGCGAGGGGAAGAGAACAGAGAGCGGGAGAGACAGGGAGAGGAGGAAAACTAGACGGCAGGTGGAGGGTTTTTGTACAGCAGCTGATTGATTGGGATGGAACAGTGGTCAGCAGTTTCCGATGCCTTGGGAAGGCTCAGAGGGTCAGGACTGGCCGAGCTGGGCTCACAGGTCCCGGGGTGCCTTAGGAGCAGCGTGAGAGAGGATTAAGCAAAATGGGCACCACAGAAACCAAACGAACCATCGCAAAATTAGGAACAAATCAGCTTTGTGAACCAGGACAGGTAGAGACCCAAACTATCTCAGCTCGCAGCTTCCCCAGGCGAGGGACCTGGCCCCATCTCCCAGACCCTCCTGTGTGGGGATCAGGGCCCTGAGAGCTCTGCCCTCTGCGTTGGGCCCTGGAAGGGGTTGGGAGCTGCCCAGCAGAGGAGAGAAGGCCTCTGGGCAGGGCCCAGCCCGCTCAGAGGCCCGAGCAGTGAAAGTGCCCGTCCTGTCCAGGGTCTGAATACATGTGGGGAGGCAGCAGGTGGGTGCAAGGTTGCAGGGACAGGAGGGGGCTTGTGTAGTCAGGAGGGCCAGGCCATTATCTGAGGGCTCTGGTGAGCCAGCGACAAGTTTTAAGCAGGGGTGAGTCTTGACTGCGTGTGAGTTTAGAAAGACCACTGGTGTCTGCAGGGAGGATGTGTTGGGCATTGCAGGGGTGCCCCTGACGGGAGATGTCCTGGCCCATGATGAGGACAGAGAAGGAGGAGGAAGGGTTGAGATTAGGGGTGAAGAACAACTTGGTAACAGCTCAGACTTGGGGTGGGAGAAGAGTGAGGGGGGATAGGGTTGTGCTGTGGGCTCAGCTGGTAGCACATAGAGTGAGGAGTGGGTGTGACTGAGGCAGAGCAGTCTGAGGGGCAGGTGTGGTCAGTCCGGGTCCAGCGTAGAGGAGGGAGCAAGGAGTGGGCATTTACCCCAAAGAAGAGCTGGTGCCGGCACTGAGATGTTCCTCTGTTCATCGCAATCTGTCCCCTGCCTACTTCCAAAAGGCCCTGGAGAGCGATGAGGGCTGAAACTCCAGAAGCTGTCCTGGGGGCCAGGGGGCGTCCCTGAGCTTGGGTGCTGGGGCACTAGAGCATTGGCCCCTTTGGGCAGGTGCGTGCGTGTGCGTGCGTGTGCGTGCGTGTGTGTGTGTGTGTGTGCGTGCGTGTGTGTGTGTGTGTGTGTGTGTGTGTGTGGTCAGTCAGGATCCAGACGGACTCAGGGGCTCTGGGAGGCCCTCAGCATCCTTGAATTGCCCCTCAGAACCTTCCTGAAGGCCTTCCCGCTGATGGGGGAGACACAGGAGCGAGAGCGGGTCCTCACTCACTTCTCCCGCCGGTACTGCCAGTGCAACCCCGATGACAGCACCTCGGAAGGTATGGCCACCTGCCCCACTCTGCCTGCCCCACCCTGCCCCTCCCTGCCAGGCCCTGGCTTCCTCCTGCCCTGGTCTACCTGCCACTTCTGTCCTGCTCAATAGACATTGAGTGAATAAACTACAGCACATGAAGTGGGCACAGCCTGCTGGGCAAGAGACCTCCTGATGTCTTGCCCATTGTCATGCCCCAGGCCTGAAACCCTCCATCCTAGAGATTCAGTCCTTTGGGTCTTCGTTCTCCCTGGTCCCCTGTTGCAATGCCGATTCTCAGCGTGGGAGTCCTGATGTGGGGGTCTGGGCCGGGGCCCTGTTAGGGGCCGGACCTGCCCTAAGGATGGATCTGAGTTCCAGAAACTGGGGGACTAGGCCAGTTATTGGAAGAGATACAGGCCATGGCAGAGACATGGCCTGGGAACCAGAGCCATTCCTGGGTCTGGGATTCAAAATGAGTTTGGCCACAGAAGGTAGGAGTTTGAGCCAGAGCAGGCCCAGGGTGGTCAAGTCTCCCCTGAGGGAGGGGTTGGCCCTGACCTTGGGCAGGCAAGTGACTCCAGGGCTTCAGTGGGGGTAGAGCAGGGGGCACCACACAGGCACTGGGCCCTGAGATGGGTTTAGCAGGTGGCTGGCCTCTTCCAATCTCTGAGACCTTCAGTCTGGCTCTGTCAGGAGACAAGGGGGCGGCTGGGGGTGGGGATGAGCGGGCCCTCACACTGAGGGTGCCGCCATCTCTGGTTTAGACGGGATCCACACGCTCACCTGTGCCCTGATGCTGCTCAACACGGACCTGCATGGACATGTGAGTTGGGGAGGCGGGGAGGAGAGGTGTCCTCTCACAGGCACCCAGGTTGTCAGGGGCCAGCCCTTTGTCCAGCCCCCTTCCTGAGACCTCCTGCTTAGGGGCCATGCTTCTTCAGCAGTCCGGAGAGCTGGGCAGTGTGGCCTCTAGACATGGTCCTGCCCTAGTTTATCCAGCTGACACGGGCCTCAGCCCCGCCCAAGCAGGGCAGTGAGAGGAATTTGGGATGTGCTGAATGAGAGGTGTGACCCTAGCTGCGCCCAGGCCGGACGTTGCTAACAGGTCACGTGCTCCTCCTACCCATCATCCCACAAGTCCGAATGTGGCCCATCGAAGCGCCACACCCCAGGTAGCCCCTACCTGTCGAATGGCAGTTTCCCTCCAGAGGCGTTCTCGTCACCCTGCCCCCCACCAGCCAAACAGTGGAGTGACAGGTGGGTGCCGGGGGGGGGGGGGGGCTGTGAGGCTGTCTGGTCCGGGCCCTGGGCTTTCTGAATGCTGCTCTGACTCAATGACTCCTTTTTCCTTATCTGCTCCGGGGACCCCCCTCTGGGCTCTCTTGCCCTCCCTCAGGTGGTAAGTGTAGCTGCTGGTGTGCATGCCCTGTGAGCCTAGACCCTCATCTCCATGTTCCCCTCCATGCCCCCCATCACTGTGTCTGGCCCCACCAATCGCTGTCCCCTCATTGCTCACCCAGATCCGAGCCCCCTGTTGGGTGGGGGATATTTTAGTGACTCATGGGGACAACAGGCCAGCATGTCTGGCTCCAGAGTGAACCCAGAATTCCAGGCACATAGGGTGGAAGAGAGAACTGGGACAGACCCGACTTCAGATCCTACTCTTGCCTCCACGGGGTAGCTCTGTGACCCTGGACAGGACACCAGCCCGCTCTGGTCTCAGGTTCTGCATCTGTAGGTGGGAGTAACGGTTTCCCACACGTCATCCTGGGAGGGCTGAGAGGTAATGTACACGACACCAAATGTCAAGGTCTGGCACCTAGGAAGGATTTAATTATGAATAATATTATGTAAGAATAACAATAGTTTTCATTATTACTATTAACATTTACCTGATGGGGAACCAAAAGGCCCAGCCTGAAGATTCCTGCAGGGTCAAGAATGCAAAGGCCACAGTCTAATGACAGCCTGAGTGGGCCAGGGCACACGGGGCCACCTGGCCTGGGGAGGTGAGAGCCTTGTGACCTTCGTAAGAAGAGTGGTCGTGTGACAACTTTGGTTATGTCCACTTGGGCCCATGGCCATGTGTGGAAGGATGGAAGATATGTGTATCCCATGGGAATGTCACCAGAGCTAATACCTATTAACCTGCTAATGTTCCCCCAAGACCAGCTCGCTCTGTGTATGGAGAGCAGGTCTTACTAGCACATCTTAAAAGGAACGTTAAACATACCCCACCTACCCTTGGCCGGGCCTGAGAGCAACCTCAGGACCCAGTCACTGCTGTGCCAAGGAGGGCAGCAGCCGCTCTTCAATGAACCCCTTGGGTGGATAATACTCCTGAGCTTGGTGGGCTTAGCTGCCCATGGCCCCACATTAATGCCCTTAGGTGAAGGGAAACTTCAGCACCTTCATAGATCAGAGGTGGGTGGGGCAAGACTGTTCATATTAGCAGCCAAGAGACATTGAGAATGCCATCTCTCTCTCTAGAGCAGTGGTTCTCAACCTTGGCTGCACATTAGAATCATTAGAATCACCTGGGAATCTTTTTAAAATCCTGGTTTCTGGGCCTCATCCTCCGGAAATTCTGTTTCTTTGTTTTGGGGTGAGGCCACAACATTAGTAACAAAGGCAGTATTGCTCAGCGATCAGGAGCAAGGGTCATCGCTTCTCCACACAACAGCTGTGTGGCCTGGGGCAAGTTACTTACTCACTAAACCTCAGTTCCCCATTGTCAAGTCCCATGAGGCTTAAGGAGACAGCACTGGCCAAGCCTTTAGCCCAGGGCCTGGTTGTTGGAGTTACTGTGAGCTCTCCAAAGGACCCCATGGAAACAGTGTCCCCTGCTGTGTGCCTTCCCTCTCTCTTCCTCACCTCTCTGCCTCCTCACCTCCCGGCCTTGGGATGGGTCTGTGACCAGGCTTGCCATACTCTTCTGCTGGGAGACAGAGGCTGTGGGAGGTCTGAGGGTGAGGGTCAAGGGCGGGCTGGGAGGCCCTGTTGATCCCAAATGGGGTGAGGTGGGGAGAGAAGAGTTGGGAACTTGGAGGTCTCAGCTCATCCCTCGGCCCTTGGCTTTGGGATGATCCGAGTACTTGTCTTTTTTTTTTTCTTTTCTTTTCTGGGTACATGTTTTTTTGCTTGGTTGTAATTATGTTTTAAATCGGATAATTTACCTGGTGTGATGTCACTTCTTTGTGATTTGTTCTTGCTTTTCTGTCCAGAGAGAGATCAGTTTTAGTAGCTGTTTCATGTGGACTTGAAAAGGAAATGTATTCTTCAGGTGTTGGTTGAAATATCCTATATGTGTAGATAAGGTCAAGTCTTTTAATTTTGTTGTAAAAATCTTGTATCTCTTTAGTGATTTTTTTTATTGTGGTAAAATACACATAACATAAAATATATGGTTTGCAATTTTCCCCCATCCTGTGGGTTGTCTTTTTACTCTCTTGATAATGTCTTTTGATGCACAAAAGTTTTAAGGTCTTATGAAGTCCAATTTATCTATTTTATCCTGTTGCTTGATTTTGGTGTCATGTGTAAGGAACTATTGCCAAATCCAAGGTCATGAAAATGTCATAGGTTTTCTTGTGATGTCTTTGTCAAGTTTTAGTATCAGGGCCTTATGGAAGAGTTAGGAAGTGTTCTTTTCTCTTCAATTTTTTGGAAGAGTTTGAAAAGTATTGGTGTTGATTTTTTAAAATATTTGATAAAATTTACTAGTGAAGCCATCTGGTCCTGGGCTTTTCTTTATTGTGAGGTTTTTGATTATTGATTTAATTCCCTTACTTGTTATAGGTCTATTCAGATTTCCTATTTCTTCTTGAGCCAGTTTTGGTAGTTTGTGTGTTTGTAGGAATTTGTCCATTTCATCTAGGTTATCTAATTTATTTGCATTACTTAATTGTTAACTAATTAATTGTTTAGTATTCTTGTTCTTCCTGTTACCAAGAAAGCAGTGTTAAAAATTCCAACTGACTGGCCTGTGTGACTCGGTTGGTTGGAGCATGGTCCCATACTCCTAAAGGTGGCTGGTTTGGTCTCAGTCAGGGCATGTGCAGGGAGGTGACCAATCAATGTTTCTCTCTCATATTGGTGTTCTCTCTCTCTCTTTCTCTCTCCCTTCCTCTCTCTCTCAAAATCAATAAACATGTCCTCGGGTGAGGATAAAAAAATGTCCAACCAAGATTATGAATAAATTATCTTTCTCCTTTGTTTCTATCAATTTTTCTCTTTTATTTTTTGAGACTATTATTAGCTGTATACAAATTTAGGATGCTATATCTTCTGGTAGATTGACCCTTTTATCATTATTAATTCCCTCTCTTTATCTCTAGTAATGTTTCTTGTCCTCAAGTCTATTTTGTCAGATATTATGTTTTTCAGTATGGTTATACTGAAGTTCTTTTGTTAGTGTTGGCATTTATATATTTTTCCATCCCTTGCTTGCAAGATTTCTGTTCCCTTACATTTAAGATGTATCTCTTGTATCATATACTTAAAAAAAATCAAGTCTGATAATATTTGCCTCTTAATTTGATCATGTAATGCAGTGGTTCTCAACCTTCCTAATGTCACGACCCTTTAATACAGTTCCTCATGTTGTGGTGACCCCCAACCATAAAATTATTTTCGTTGCTGCTTCATAACTGGTAATTTTGCTACTGTTATGAATCGTAATGTAAATATCTGATATGCAGGATGTATTTTCCATTGTTACAAATTGAACATAATTAAAGCATAGTGATTAATCACAAAAACAATATTATATATGTGTTTTCCGATGGTCTCAGGCGACCCCTGTGAAAGGGTCATTTGACCCCCAAAGGGGTCGAG